CCTCAGCTTCCCGAGTAGCTGGGATTACAGGTGTCTACCACCACGACTGGCTAATTTTTGTATTTTTAGTAGAGATGGGGTTTAGTCATGTTGGCCGGGCTCGTCTCAAACTCCTGACTTCAAGTGATCTGCCCTCCTCGTCCTCCCAAAGTGCTGGGACTAGAGGCGTGAGCCACACATGCCCAGCCCCGAACAGAGGCTTTTTAGAGCACTCTCTGAATTGGAAATGTCCTCTGCTATTTGGTGGGACAGCTTCTTTGGAGGGGAATTTGTTCAGAACTTACAACACTATGTTTTTTTTTTTTTTAACCCAGAAGGAATTTCCTGTACAGATACACCTGTGCAGGGGAGCTAAGGTACTAGCTTAAAGGTAGTTACTACAGGAGCAAAAGTCTGGAAATAACCTAAATACCCTTCCACAGGGAACTGGCCACATAATTAGAGAACACCTGTTCAACAGAATACTCTGTAGCAGGAAAATAAAATAGAAGATATAGAGTTATATAAAGGTATGGAATGACCTCCTAAATGTATTAAGTAAAAACCAAGGAGAGAATAAAGTTGAACCATGTTACTATTTGTGCAAAAACAAAGGCAAATATCTAATTGTACTTGAAGACGATATTTTGGATGGACTGTCCAAAAAGCAGGAGTCGCTCAGAGCTGGGCTCTGTCATTTATGCTGTGTGACCTTAAAGAGGTGACTTTGCCTATATGAGCCTATTTTCTCATCAGAGAAATGGGGTAATAAAGATATCGACTGCATCAGTTAAAGGTAAAATGTGACAAGGCCAGTGAGGGCAGCCCCTGGCATGTGATAAACTTTCAGTAAAGGAAAACAAGGATTATTTTTAGGAGAGATGGGATGACTGAACCTTTAGGTAACTATTAGCATAGTATACCAAAAATCAACAGGAGCTGTCAGAAATGTGAAATGGACAGAAACAAGTCGGCCTCATCATATGCCATTTCTTCACATGGATGATGTTGCTTTCCAGTGATCAAGTTTGCAAGCTCTCCAGTCTCTCATTCCTCCGTACCTTTTTTTTTTTTTTTTTTTTGACGGAGTCTCGCTCTAACATCCAGGCTCACTGCAGCCTCCGCCTCCCAGGTTCAAGCAATCTTCTCACCTCAGCCTCCCGAGTAGCTGGGATTACAGGTATGCACCAACACGCCCGGCTGACTTTTCTACTTTTAGTAGAGACAGGGTTTCACCATGTTGACCAGGCTGGTCTCGAACTCCTGACCTCAGGTGATCCACCCGCCTTGGCCTCCCACAGTGCTGGGATTACAAGCATCAGCCACTGCACCCGGCCTCTCTGTACCTTTGCATAGCTTGTCACCTCTGCCAAGGATGGGCTTCTCAAATCCTGGCCACTGCATCCCTTTTACATATCTGGCCCACTCTCCTTGCACTTGAAACAATCTTAGAATGAGAGCTTGGTGAGGCGGGGAAGGTAAGTTGCAATGCCAGGTGCACTGCAGGAGGCTGTCAGCCTTGTGACAAGGGGAGGGTGAAACCGGTGAGGCACAGGTGAGTGGGGCACCGGTCACTGCCTTCCCAGCATCCTTTCCACCCCTGCCCCCTGCTGTGTGGCAGCCAAGTGGCTTGAGTGGTCCCATTGAATCCCCAGCCTAGTCATAGAGACTGGCTCTGGTAAACTTGGACTAAGAATCATTGTGTGAGTGACTGCTAATGGATACAGTGTCTTTTTGGGTAAGGAATGTGCTAAAAGTTGATTGTGGTGATGGTTGCACAATTCTGTGAATATACTAAAAACTCTTGAATTGTATACTTTAATTTGGTGAATTGTATGGTATATAAAGTATATCTCAAAAAAAGCTATTATTACAAAAAGAAGGCCAGGCAATTGGCTTATGCCTGTAATTCCAGCACTTTGGGAGACCCAGTTGCTACAAACAATTTAAAAAATTAGCTGGGTATGGTGGCACATGCCTGTAGTCCCAGCTACTCAGGAGGCTGAGGTGGGAGGATTGCTTGAACCTGGGATGTTGAGGCTGCAGTGAGCTGTGTTCATACCACTGAACTCCAGCCTGGGCGACAGACCCTGTCTCAAAAAAAAAAAAAAAAGAAAAAAAGAAAGAAAAAACACTCCATGCCATATGCCATCAAGGAAATGCAAATTAAAACAGCAATGTGGTATCAATACACACATCCTAGAATAGCTGAGATCTGGAGCACTGACAACACCAAACTCTGTCAATGATGAGGAGCAACAGGAACCCTCATTCATCACTGCGGGGGATGCAAAACAGTACAGCTAGGGAGGAAGGCAGTTCGGCAGGTTTTTTTATAAAACTAACTATATTCTTACTACATGATCAAGCAATCACACTTCGTGATATTTATCTAGAGAAAGTAAACATTTACGTCTACAGAAACACCTGTCCACAGATGTTTATAGAAGCTTTATTATTATTACTTTTGCGATGGAGTCTCACTCTCTCTCCCAGGCTGGAGTGCAATGGCATGAACTCAGCTCACTGCAACCTCCACCTCCCAGGGTCAAGTGATTCTCCTGCCTCAGCCTCCCGATCAGCTGGGATTACAGGAGCCTGCCACCATGCAGGCTAATTCATTTATTTTTTTGAGATGGAGTCTCATTCTGTCACCCAGGCTGGAGGGCAGTGGTGTGATCTCGGCTCACTGCAACCTCCATCTCTTAGGCTCCAGTGACTCTCCTGCCTCAGCCTCCCGAGTAGCAGGGATTACAGGGGCATGCCACCATGCCTGGCTAATTTTTGTATTTTTAGTAGAGATGAAGTTTCACCATGTTGGCCAGGCTGGTCTCGAACTCCTGACCTCAGGTGATCTGCTGGCCTCAGCCTCCCAAAGTGCTAGGATTACAGGCGTGAGCCACCATGCCTGGCCTCTATGTCAATTTTTAAAGTATGTATATATATACACATATACAAACATATACATTTGATTACACATTCATGTACATACATTCACATACACATATACATGCCACTCTGGAATCAGAATACTCTAATTCCAGAGCGTTCTAATTCTGGTTCTGCTATTCACTAGGTTTATGATCTAGACAGGTTCCTATACCACTGAGCCTCAGTTTCCTTATCTGTAAATTGGGGATAATAATACCTTAAGCAGTCAGCAAAGATATATGTCAGTGCTGGCTGGCAGCACACGTTGATTCAGTACTTTCTGGTAAATATTCTTCTCGCTGCTGCTCCCTGTGATGGCTGAGCCCAGAGTGTCTGGAAGGGGGAGGGGGTCCATGAAGAGGGCCAATCTAAACTGATTAGCAGGCCGGGCGCTGTGGTCTCAGTTCTAGACCAGCCTGGCCAACATGGTGACATCCCGTTTCTACTAAAATACAAGAACTTTGGGAGGCCGAGGCCGAGGCGGCTGGATTATGAGGTCAGGAGATTGAGACCATCCTGGCTAACACGATGAAACCCTGTCTCTACTAAAAATACAAAAAAAAAAAAAAAAAAAAAAAAATTAGCCGGGCGTGGTGGCGGGCGCCTGTACTCCCAGCTACTCGGGAGGCTGAGGCAGGAGAATGTGGTGAACCCGGGAGGCGGAGCTAGCAGTGAGCCGAGATCGCACCACTGCACTCCAGCCAGGGCGACAGAGTAAGACTCCGTCTCAAAACAAACAAACAAACAAAAAACAAAAAAATTAGCTGGGCGTGGTGGCGCGTGCCTATAATCCCAGCTACTCGGCGAGGCTGAGACAGGAAAATTGCTTGAATCCGGGAGGCAGAGGTTGCAGTGAGCCGAGATAGCGCTACTGCACTCAGGCCTGGGTGAAATTCCATCTCAAAAAATAAATAAGTAAATAAATAAACTGATAAATAGTACACGCTCATCTTGCAAACTGCTGCAAAGGGAGAGGGGGTGAGGATGGGGTGGGGTACTGCATGTGCCAGGCCTGCCTGGTGGCTGGCTGGGGAGCCGACCTGCTCTGGGCCTCCTGGGGAAAAAGGGCAGTTAGGCGGGTAATGACCACTGAGCAGGGGAAATGGATCCTTTCCTGGATAGCAGGGCCTCTCGCTATCACTGGGCAATCAAGACGACTGTAAAACTTTAAACACCTTCTCGGGCAGGGCAGCTCTGCACGAGAAAACCCCGAATCCCACATACTCCCACCACTCCCAGAAGCCCTGTGGTGGTGAACTGGGGAACTCAGAGGGCAGGCTGTTGGGTTCAAACGCCATATTTGTCCCTTACTGGATGTGTGACCTGCGGCGGGTCCCTGTGCCTCTCTGGGTCTCAGTTTCCCCATCTGTAACACGGCGATATAATAGTACCTAGCTCAAAGGTTTAATACCGGCAGATCACTGAGCAAAGGTGCGGGGACGGAAGAGGCTCGGTCTGCAGGACTTGTCATTTGTTGGCCGCGGTGAGACCACGCCCCGTCGCCCTCCCACACCTGACCCCACCCTCCCGCGTCCGTTGGGAGCGCCACCGGAAGTAACGCGAGGCGGAACGTTTTAGCGGAGACACTCACTGGGGCAATCTGAGGTACTCCAAGAGACTGTGGCGGAGGGACCGGAAGCGCCAGGCAGGGACCCGGGGTAGATGCTAAATCCAAACTCAAACGCACAGGTCTGGATGATTGAAGCAGCGGCGGGAACTAGTAGGACCTCCGAGCTCTTTAAACTGTCCTCAGCCTTCCCTGTGGGCTCGGCCGATTCTCCACAGGCTCCGAGCAGAAGAGGGGCCGACGTTTAAGTCAAAGGCCTTGGGGCTCCGAGTCCCTCCCTCTCCCCGTCCTGTGAAGGCGCGACCCAGTTCAGCTGTCTGTAAAGTGGAGCCATTAGTCCCTGCCTCGTGGTGGGAAAACTGAGAGGCGGAACGAGGGGGCCGCCGGTCCCAACCCGTCCCAGGAGCATCTTTCTCCGCAGACCGTTTCCTGGCGAGGTGCATCTTCGTCCTTTTCCGCCCTTGGGAACTTAGAGCGGCCCCTTGGCCGCTGGTTCCGCACCTCCCGCGGTTGGGGCGTGCCCGGAAGTGCCCCTACGGAAGCGGGCAGGGCCGTGGGCGCTTCACTATGGCGACGGTGGCGGCTCCGCGGCGCTTCTGCCGCTGCGCCTGCTTCTACACGGGTAACTTGTACGTGGCGCGCTATGGGCTGCACGTGCGCTTCCGAGGCGAACAGCAGCTGCGCCGGGACTACGGCCCGGTGAGTGGCCGCTGTTGTCCCTACGGAGCAGTGGGCAGAGAGGGGCAGTGGAGGAGGGAAGTTCGTCCCCAAGGTCGTTTGCTTTGCGCACGGGGCGCACCGCATCCTCAAATTCAAGAATGACGGCCTCTTTGTGCCTCAGTTTTCTCACCGTAAAGGGGTAATAGTATCTCTCTGTGAGGTTGTGCGGAAGGAATGAACACGCATGTAGGGTGCTTAGGACAGGGCCGGGCTCAGCTTGCCACCTTATAGCAACACCAGCCCGGAGCCCTGCCGTCAGCTTGACAAGGTTCCGCAGTTCATTTCATCCTCTCCATGATCCTTTGAGGTCGGGGCTCCTCTCCCCATTTTAAGCAGGGGAAACTGAGGCTTAGAGAAGGGACTTCCTAAGGGCATACAGTAATGCTCAGTGTTCTTTCTGCTCCCAGATCCTGCGCAGCCGAGGCTGTGTTAGCACCAAGGACTTCCAGCAGCTGTTAGCAGAGGTACCCGTCCCCTGTCCCTGCACAGCTCCTCCTTGTTAGATTTGTGTCCACAGCTTGAGGGGTCCCCTAGCCTCAGTCTCTGATCCCTGAAGGATCACTTAGGCCCTCACTTTCCTCCTTCCTGCCCCCCACTCATCCCTCCACACCTGGGTCTTGGCACCAGGAGAGAGAAGGGGAAATGCTGAGTTGCCTAGTCATGCCGTTCTTAACACCTCTGCGAGATAAGCACAAGCACCACCCTCATTTTGGATTGAGAAGCTGAGGCTTAAAGAAGGATCACTTGCCTAAGCTTTTTTTTTTGACATGGAGTCTTGCTCTGTCGCCCAGGCTGGAGTGCAGTGGCGCGATCTCGGTTCACTGCAAGCTCCGCCTCCCGGGTTCATGCCATTCTCCTGCCTCAGGCTCCCGAGTAGTGGGGACTACAGGTGCCTGCCACCAAGCCCGGCTAATTTTTTGTATTTTTTAATAGAGATGGAGTTTCACGATGTTAGATAGGATGGTCTCGATCTCCTGACCTCGTGATCCACCCTCCTCGGCCTCCCAAAGTGCTGGGATTACAGGCGTGAGCCATCGCGCCCGGCCACTTGCCCAAGCTTTTACAGCAGGAGCAGATGCGATCCTAGCCGTGGCTTCCAGACCCCTGGGCTCCTCACACCTTCCCACATACCCCGCAGGCTGCTGCCAGGGTTGCTGACCCGCTCCCTCCTCCCCCTTCCCCTGGAGTCAGTGGTGGGAAGCTTCCCAGGAGAGTCCTCAGCAACCTCTGGAACACTGGACTTGGCCATGACTGTCTCCCTCCCCTGTGTGGGCCCAGATGGTTGAGGTACATCTAGGGGTTCTCATCCCAGCTAGGCTCAGGTTGGGCAGCCTGAAACAGGATGGGTCTCCTTCTAGAAGTCCCTTTCAGCTCACAGTCTGGAACTTGCAATTGACACAGATAGATTCAGGAGTGTAGGCTACACTTGGCTTCCAGCCTGGGCCCTGTCTGGCGTTCCTGGGCTTCAATTTCTTCATCTGTACAGTGGCCTCAGGAGGATGGGAGGCCCCACCTGGTAACAGCCTTGTGCCACCCCAGCTGGAGCAGGAGGTGGAGCGGCGGCAGCGGCTGGGGCCGGAGTCAGCGGCTAGGAAAGCCCTCATCGCGAGTTCCTACCACCCGGCACGGCCTGAGGTCTATGACTCACTGCAGGTACCAGCCAGCCAGAGTGCTTGAAGGCCGGTACTGGAAAGAGGAGGTAGCATCCAGGGCTGAGGGGCTGCCTGCCCCATAGCTGGTGTGTTCTGCCCCCAGGATGCAGCTCTGGCCCCCGAGTTTCTGGCCGCGGCTGAGTACAGTGTGTCCCCGGGCGCAGACATCAAGGGCCTTCTCCAGCGGCTGGAGACAGTATCAGGTGAGGTCCTAGCCCTGAGACCTGGCAGGACCAGGGGATGGCAGCCTGGGAAACCTGGGTGTGGGATACTGGGGTCCCTCCAGCCACCATCTCTGCCTCCAAAAACCAAAGCAGCAGGAGCTGGAAGGGTCAGTGGGACCAGCCTGCCAGGAACAGGACATCTGCATTCATTCATTCATTCAATACCTGCCACGAGCCTGGTATCTTCATTCCTTCCTTCACACCTTCCTTTGTGCCCTCATCCAGCAAATAGTAGGTATTTGTGTCAAGTGTGGGACAGCTGGCACACTCAAACAAGGCTGATCCAAGATCTTAAAGGGACCACTGAGACAGGTGTGGGCAGGGTAAAGGGACCAGTAAGGAATGGCAAAGCCCCGCCCCCCAAGGCTGGCAACAGGAGGGAGCTGTTACCACCTGGAGTTGTGGCTCTGGGCAGAGGCCTGGAGCCATGCCAAACTCCAAGTAGGGCAAAAAATGCCCCATTTCTCCTCTTACCTTTGGATTTCCTGCTGGGCTCACTTATTGGCTAAACCCAGCAGGAAATGCTGGGCAAGGGAGGTTTGCGTATTGTTTAACCTCTGTGACTCAGTTTCCTCATCTGTAAAATGGGAGCAACAGTAACCCCCTCTCTTAAGGCACCATCAAGTGAGTTAATCTACATAGAGTGCCTGACACAGGCCCGTACCTAGTGTTTTTGAAAGTGTTTCCTCTTACTGGCACTGATAGCCTGGGCTAGGGGCTCCTGTGGGAGACAGATATGTTTCCCCTCATGGAGGCTGTGCTTTATTAGGGGTCATGGGTGGAAGGAACTCCCCTCCTCCCAGCCTGGGGGTGCTCTCACCATTGCCTTCCATTCCCCGGCAGCTGAGATTGTGCTGAGGCTGTTGGCTGGGGCAGGGCCCAGGCTGCGAGGTGGCCCCATCGGGGGCACACTAGCCCTGCACCCCTGGGCACTGGTGCATCTGCCAAGAAATGTTTAGGTTTCCATTCTCAGCCTGGCTTCTTCCCCCTCCAGGGCCCAGCAAGAAAGAACAGCCCCTCCTGGCCTTCCTGCTGGGGGACAGAGGCTCCCAGAGCCACTTCTGAGTTGGGGTACAGACCTCACTGGCTCATTAGGTGAAAGGAGGTGCAGAGAGAGACTGAAGTTGGCTCTGTGATCCCAGCTTGGCCGTCACTGGCCTGCCGGGTGTCGCTGGGCTACTTCCTTTCCCTCTATGGGCCTCAGGACCCATATGGGAGCTCCCAGGGCCAGCCCTGTGGACACTTGTGGAGTCTGGGGAATGGTTCCGGGCATAAGTAGGGGGGCATGGGAATCAGCCTCCCCTGCTCCTCATGTTACTTCATTTAGTCATGACAACAGCCCTGAAAAGCGAGGGCCTTATCCCCATGGCACAGGTGATGGAACTGAGGCTTGGGGGAGTGAACAGACACGCCCAGACTCACATGGTTCACGGGAAGACTGAAGCCCAGGCTTGGCCGGCCCACAGCCACATTCAGGCCAACAGACCATCCCTCCTTCCACAGAGGAGAAGCGCATCTACCGGGTGCCTGTGTTCACAGCACCCTTCTGCCAGGCCCTGCTGGAAGAGCTGGAGCACTTCGAGCAGTCGGACATGCCTAAGGGGAGGCCCAACACCATGAACAACTACGGGGTGGGTGAGGCCGGGCCCGTGGCAGAGGAGGGGGTGGCTGAGGTCAGTAGGCAGTGTTGGAGGTGCTGCAGATGGGCTGCCTGCCCGGGCTGCGAAAGGTCACAGTGGGATCACGGTGGAGTGGAACCCCAGGGTTGCAGCCCCCTAGTTTCCTTGCTGACCCCAGGAATCCCCTCCCAGGTGCTGCTGCACGAGCTCGGATTAGACGAGCCGCTGATGACACCACTGCGGGAGCGCTTCCTGCAGCCACTGATGGCCCTGCTGTACCCCGACTGTGGCGGGGGCCGACTCGACAGCCACCGGGCCTTTGTGGTCAAATACGCACTGGGCCAGGACCTCGAGCTGGGCTGCCACTATGATAATGCCGAGCTCACCCTCAATGTGGCCTTGGGCAAGGTCTTCACAGGGGGCGCCCTGTATTTTGGGGGCCTCTTCCAGGTGAGTGTGCGACCCATGCGGCAGGACCTGGGGCAGCTGTGAGTGCCCAGGCCTGAGCCGTGCCATCTGCAGGCACCCGCAGCCCTGACGGAGCCCCTGGAGGTGGAGCACGTGGTGGGCCAGGGTGTTCTCCACCGTGGTGGCCAGCTACATGGGGCCCGGCCCTTGGGCACTGGTGAGCGTTGGAACCTCGTCGTCTGGCTCCGAGCCTCTGCTGTGCGCAACCGCCTCTGTCCCATGTGCCACTGTGAGCCTGACCTGGTGGATGATGAGGGCTTCAGTGATGGCTTCACCCGAGAGGAGCCAACCACGGTGGATGTGTGTGCGCTCACCTGAGGCTGCTTGGGCCCAGTGTGGGGGTGGCAGGGCAGGTGAGGGCTCTGTCGCCTTGGGCTGGGGGCAGAAATAAACTCCCCGCAGCCTACCGCATTTCTTGGCTCGAGGCTGTGCCAGCTTCTGGGTCATCCTCTGGGCAAACAGGCTGCCTTAGTTCGGGTTTGTCGGAAGCAGAGTCTGGAATGAGGCTTCGGCAAGGGAGTGAGGGAAGCAGGGGAGGGGAGGGAGCAGGTGGGCAAGGAGGTGGCTTCAGAGGAAGTCCAGCCTCAGCAGGGCCTGCAAAGAGCTCCAGGCAGAGCCCACAGTACCACGGTGTGCCCACACCATCGGTTGACTCCCAGATGAGGAGGCCAGAGACGGGTGAGTAACTTCCCATGCACTTGTCTCCAGGGCAGGGTACCTTCCAGTAGCCAAGGGAAGCTTCCAGAGACAGCACAGATGTGAACCCTCAGCAGCAGGCATCACCCCCAGTGACTCGGTGGGCCACCAGTAGCATCTTCTAGATGGCAGAGGGTGAATGGCAGGGCCAGGAGCCAGGCTGCCTGGGTTCCCATTCTGCTGCTGCCACTTCCAGCTGTGTGGCTTTGGATGAGCCTTCGCCTTTTGGTGCCTTGGTTTCCGCATTTAGCACCTACTTCCTAGAGCTGTTTTGAGAGTCAGATATGTTGATGTATCTATATAAAGTGCTTTGCAAGAGCCCTTTGTGTTTGCGGCTGTCATTGTGGAAGAGTTGCTACTTGGGGGCCTGAGATCGGATGAAACGCGCAGCCACGATTTGGGTTACACATTTGAAAATCAGGGGGCTTCCATATTGCAGTCTTGAGTTCGATCTCCCTGGGAAGGTGGGGCCACCAGCCCCATGCCCCCGTTGCACGGATCAGCTGGAGCAGAATCCCGGCTTCCCTCCGGATGGGCCTGGGTCCATGCCCGCGCTCACTGCCAAGATCTCTCTGGCCCCTACGGACACGAGTTTGCGACCTCTGAGTCACTGGGTGGGCTCGTCGGAAAGACCCGGGCGTCTCACTCTGGAGCTCACAGTCGAACGGAGAAGACAGGACCAGCCGGGGAGGAGGGCGGCGCGCGCGAGGGTCGCCTTCTTCCCAGGGCACCGGGGGCGTGGGTGCTGCGGGAGCGCACCGAAAGGGCAGCCTTGGAAACGAGCGCAGCTTCGGCAGACAGGCCTGAGGGGCTGCGGGGCTCGAGGGCCGGCGCCGGGCTGCAGGGCACGGCCTCGCCCCGGCGCCCCTCCTTGCCTCTGCGGGAGGTGGGCGCGCCCAAGACGGAACCTGGGGCGTCAGAACGAAAGGCAGCGGCGCCGCGCTTCCCGGCCGGACAGCCTCCGGCGCAGCGCCCCGGCCGGAAGCCTTCTCGCCGCCGCTTCCTCTCGAGAAGGCGTGGGGCGGGCTGTCCGGCCCGTGGGGCGGTCAAGGTGGGAACGGAACAGCCCCAGGGGACCCCTTGAGGCGGCAAGGGCGCTGGGCTGGAGGGTAGGAGAGCGCGGGAAAGCGCCCCAGACGCCACTCGCGGGGGACTGCGGCTGATTCCCAGGGGCTCCGAGCCGGGTGCGCGGGCGTGGGGCCTCCGGGCGGGGGCGGGCCCTTAATAGGCGCCGCTGCGGTGACTGGAGTCGGCATGAGAAGCCGGAGTCCCCAGCATTGGGGGTGGGTGAGGGTCGCTTATTTTCCCGGGGCGGTGACGGGTACTGGGCGCCGCGAGGCCCCAACCCCACTAGAGCCGCCCTAGGAGCCCGCTTGTGGCCGGCTTGGGGGGCTTCGGCTCAAGCGCTTCCTCTCCGTCGCCAGCCCGCGGCGCCATGGCTCACGTCGGCTCCCGCAAGCGCTCGAGGAGTCGCAGCCGGTCCCGGGGACGGGGGTCGGAAAAGAGAAAGAAGAAGAGCAGGAAGGACGCCTCCGCATCCCAAGGTCGCAAGGCCAGCACGGCCCTCGGGGCGGAGGGTGAGGACCACAGGCATCGGGGAGAGGAGGCACAGCCACTTCCCGGGGAAGTCAGGGCGAGCAGCGGTCGGGGACGCTCAGTCATGCCTCTGTGCATCCGGGCCTGAGATGTGAGGGCCAGGCGCCACGGGAGCCGGAAAGGGGCTCTTCCGGGAAGCTCCAGCTCTGTTCTGGAAAGCCCCGCAGGAGGCGCTCACCCTGTGGATGGTCTGTGCCTGCCCCAGGCCAGAGTAGGGGACGAAGGTTTACCTCTTCCCTTCCTGGCCTTCTAGCCTCACCTTCTCCCTGCATCACAGAGAGAAGCAAGCACAAGGCCCGGAGGAGACCACGATCCAGCTCCTCCTCCTCCTCTTCCAGTTCTAGCTCCTCTTCTTCCTCCTCGTCCTCCTCCTCTTCCTCCAGTGATGGCCGGAAGAAGCGGGGGAAGTACAAGGACAAGAAGAGGAAGAAGAAGAAGAAGAGGAAGAAGCTGAAGAAGAAGGGCAAGGAGAAGGTGGAAGCACAGCAGGTGGAGGCTCTGCCGGGCCCCTCGCTGGACCAGTGGCACCGATCAGCTGGGGAGGAAGAGGATGGCCCAGGTACTGTGCTGCCCAGCACCTGAGAGGGAGAAGGTACCTTCCCAAGGCCTGGCCACCACCTCCATCTTCCCTTCCAGTCCTGACGGATGAGCAGAAGTCCCGAATCCAGGCCATGAAGCCCATGACCAAGGAGGAGTGGGATGCCCGGCAGAGCATAATCCGCAAGGTGGTGGACCCCGAGACGGGGCGCACCAGGTGGGGAGCCCTCGGCCTCACTTACACCGCGGGGTCTGGCCGAAGATGTGAGGAGCCGGGCCGGGCGGGGGTGCTGCTGCCTGAAAAAGGCCAGATGTGGGCAAAAATACCATCACTCCGAGTAAGGAGTTGTAGGGGCTGGAAGGGCCTGGAGGAGGCTTTTCAAAGGGCTGCTGTTGGCGGGGCTGAGGCTGGCAAGGTGGAGCCCAGCTCGGCTGCCTTCATCAGGGAGAGTGGGTGAGGGCCCAGGGTCTGCCCACTCAAGGCTGCGGGGCAGGAGCCTGGGACCCCTCTGCTGGCTGCTTCTGGTTCTGCTCCTTTGGCATTAGGGAAGCTGCCTATTCTTTGCTGAATGGAGACTCTCTCACCCCCAGGCTAATTAAGGGAGATGGTGAGGTCCTAGAGGAAATCGTAACCAAAGAACGACACAGGGAGATCAACAAGGTGGGTGTGGCCCCTCTGCCTGCCATCCACCCCCAGCTCTGTTTGTGATGTCCCCCTCCTCCTGTGTGCTTTCTTCCCCAGCAAGCCACCCGAGGGGACGGCCTGGCCTTCCAGATGCGAGCTGGGTTGTTTCCCTGAGGGCCCCGGCTGGCCAAGGCCTGTGGACGGTGCTGGCGACCCGGCCTGGGCAGGCTTCAGGGTGCCAGTGGGAAGCCTGATGAGTGCTGGTGGCTTTTTCCCCGTGGATTGGCCTCTGGCCCAGCCCAGCCTCTTCTCAGGGGCAGGGGGTGGAGGATGGGGTCACCAGCCTGCTCGGCACCCCCATCTGAAACAGCGACACTTCTAAGCTATTAAAGGTTCTCTGGTTAGAGACTTTCTCTGTTCTGTGGCTTTTTGTGCTGAGGGGGAGGGAAGGGTGCTACATGACTGCCAGGGGAAAACAAGGGCTCCGGGAGCTTTCAGGAAAAGCTGGGTTGTCCTCTGGTGGTAGTGAGCACAGGCCACACCAGCGCCTGAGCGCTTCTCATCTTCAGGTCAGCCTGCCTGCACCAGACCCCATGCCAGCTGAACCCCAAACCCAGAGAGCTGACTCTGAAATGCCATGCCCTGAGGCATGGAGAGAGACGGCTTCCCCTGCCATGTTCATTCCACAGATCACAACAGTGCAGAGCCAGGTGCTGGGGCCGGGTGGCCTGTGTGGGAGGCCTGGCTCCTACTGCCCAGCTGTGTCCTCCACTCGGAAGCAGGGAGGCTCGCAGCACCCGCTTCACGGGGGGTCTGTGAGGGCAAACTGCGTTCCAGCCAAGGAGCTAGAATCAGGCTAGGCCCAGAGTCAGCCCTGCACGAATGTGTTGGCGTCACTGTGAGTGTCACTAGCGTTACTGTTCCATGCCCCCATCCCACCATGCCCCACGGTCGCCAGTGCAGTAAAGAGACCCAGAAGGAAGCCTTCCCGCTTCTTTAATTGGTGTAACAGACATGACGTTGTATACAGAGCACACTCAGGCCCAATGATGCGGGGACAGCAGGGACGGGTGGGGAGAGTGGGGATGCTGCTCACACATGGCCCAGAGAGACAGATGGCACATGGACAGACCAGACAGGAGGGGCTGAGACGTGAAGGCTGTGATGGGGCGGGCAGTGGGACTCAGACCGAGCCAGGGAGGGGTGGGGGTCTCTGCTGAATCCCTCTTTAGAAATCAAAGAGAAGGCAGGTGGTGGGGCCTGGGGCCTGGGGGTGTGGTGGGAGTGGGACTAAGGCTTCTATTCTAACAGGCCTGGGGGGTGGCAGTCAGCAAGGCCTGCCTCACCCTTTGGTTATGACTGGTCAGGCCTGAGCCCTGCAGCTCAGCACCCAACTCTGTAAACATTTTTGGTATTTTTAAAGGACGTTGCCCTCCCTCTCTTAGTTTCAGAAAGACTGGTGCTTCCTCAAGAGGAGAATGTGCCAAAAAGAATCTGAAGGGAGGAGGAAAGCAGACCTGGATACAGAAGAGACTTCCCATGGGGGGCGGGCTGCCCACCTCGCCATCTATGGCTGAGGGCCGCTGGGAGAGCCCCAGGGGACTATTGCTGTTGTCCTTGGCATGGCTGGCGGCTGGGCAGGCAGGTGGGGAGCGAGGAGCCAAGGAGCCGTGGGGGAGCTGCCCCCTAGGGAGAGGCTGAGCCCACTGCCCACAGGGCCTCCCGGCCTTTATTGCAGGAGGGCCCGAGACTCTTCCAGGTGCTTCTCTGGATGGCTGGTCACCGAGGCAGCAGGCAAGACAGGATGAGGTGGGGCCGAGAGTGGAGGAGGCACTGGCCACAGGGCCCCTGACCGGGGCTGTGATTGTCGGGCCAAGCGACTTCCCGCTGGGAGCAGGGGTGTCAGATATTGCACTTTCACTGCAACAGTTACATGAAAACTTGGTCCATAAAATAATCGTTGCTTTATACATAATGCCTGAAACAACAACAAAAAGCTACATCTTAAATATGAATAAACCCTGAAGGTTCCATCCCTCCAGACATTTTTCTCTGCACAAAATAAATAGCTTTCACTCTGTATAGACCCACTTTTGCAGAACATTTACACGACCCTTTGGCTGTACATATCTACACACAAGAAAAAGTTAACATCACTCTGTGCACCTCCCCAGCCCCGTCCACGTGGCCCAACGCCAGGCCCAGGTCGGCCGTAGCTTCTTGGGGATGTAGCCTGTTCGCTGGACAAAGGCTGAGGCCAGGCAGGCTCTCCCACCTCAGGGAAAGCCGAGGAGCAGCAGAGGGGCCACTGGAGCTGGCCATTGAGCGCCACAGCCAAGGTACGCTTGGTGCTGGGGAGAAAGGGCAGACGGTCAGACCCAGCGTGCAGGACAGCATGGTCCTTGTTCAGGCGAGAAATGAAGTCATGGCTGCCTGCCCTGAAGCTGACAAAGCAAGTTGTGGCTTCTTAGATTCGGCATGAAAACGGAATTGGCGTTAAAAAAACCAAAGTGTGTGCCCCACCCACCCCAGAGTAGAAATTCAGTGGGATTGCCGGGGG